TTGCAAGTGGTAGCGAGGAGTTCGAGTGCAGATGGCGAGTCGTGTTGAAGTGGTTGGGTGGGGGTTGGCTTGGGTTTAGGTAAAGTTTAGGCGGAGAGGGGTCGAGGATGCGAGGATGCGAATGGAGGATGACCCTAAGTCCTTCTAATAACCTAAGCGTACCTTCGAGTAAATTTCGTGTATGTCCTTGAGATCCTTGCGAAAGTGGTTCTGGGCGACCCTGAGCTGCGTCTTGACTCGCTTGAGTGCCCTGTGGACGCTGTGCCGCTGCGGAAACTTCCGGAGGGCCGCGGCAACGGGGGTGCCGCAGGGCTGGAGCCAGGGCTCCATGTCGACGTACGCTCCCGTGTAGGTGGTGTGCATGCTGTAGGAGGGCGCGCCGGAGACGCAGGTGACCGGACCCAGGCCGGAGCTGATGAAAAACGCGAGGCTCGTGAGAGTAGCCGTCTGTGCCACCGGATCTGAAACAGGACGATTTCACTAGGTTATTTTATCGTCCGGGCCTCGTTGCTCTCTTCCTACAGTCACTTTGCACGGGTAAAGGGGGCGTTTTCACGTAGTGCCGCACCTGTGATTTTTCAATGCTTTTCAATACCACTTTAACGGGGTCCTAGCCATCTACCAATTACCCTGGGCCTATCAACCGTTCATAACGTAATCGAGTGAGTCGTCGTCGATGTCATTAATACCGCCTCCGCCTCCGCCGCCGTCGCTGTTACTACTGTGGCTGCCGCTGCTACTGTTACTGTTACTGTCACTGTCACTGCTGCTGTTACTCCCACTAACGACACCGAGAAGAGGCAGAATCAATTTTATTGACATTCCACGATGATATTTTTATGCTAATTAACAAGAGGCGATAGTCGCTGATTAATATAAGACATCTGTAAAACTCGACTATGCCATGAAATTCAACTCGCCTTACTTCGCAGCATTTAAACGCGAAGATTATTGGCAGTAAAATACATTACTGATAACACATTATATCTCGTTTATATTTCACGTAAGAGTAAAAATAATAATTTGCAACACTTCCGCCTATTAGAGCCAAGTTCAAGATACAGCTTAGCGAAGATATTACTAGTCATTTAAATACCAATGAGACTTTGTATTTCCTATGTATACTTGGTAATTGCGAATTTATCTTGGGCTTTAAATTATTTTATTCGAACGTATAAGTGTAATAGATAACACGTGCTTTATTGCACTTTACGAAGGCATAAACATTTGTTGATTGTAATCTTTATCGCACGAAATATTATCTCATAACATAAGTATAAAACGGCTTGCGCGTACCTTAGACTTAGTATAATGTCTACTTTAAACTTAATGAATCTTATAATAATGAGATTAATTTACATAATCCATTCGCTCCACTTGCGTTACAGTATGCTCGCAACCAAAATATTCGCGCAACCTCGTAACGGCTCAAGGACTGCTTCGTTTTTCCCGCTGATATAAATCACTTTTTATCTTCATCTCAGATCGTAAAATCGACGTTTTCACGAACTGCATAAACCGCAAAAAATATTTGAAATAATATGAGCATGGAAGCGCGCCTGTAAGCCAATGCCACGAGAATAAAAGCTCGTCTGGATTATTATGCTCGCAGTATAGATAGGAGTCGCAGAGAGGCGGGCGATGTGAAAAAGACAGACCGTAAAATGCGAATATGAAAATTGAAGGAAGACAGTCGGGCGGGAGAACAGATATAGAGAGAAAGAGAGTTTCGCGACTTTCACACCCGGGCGCACCCCGTCTACACGTAGTTATAGAGACACGAGTGTACGCGATATCATTGTAGGCGCACACGCGAGCACCTACGCGCCAATTTAAGCGTTGCACGTAGCGAGATCGCCCACCCCCGCAGAGGAGGAAATGGGTTGTGAATCGAGGAATATCAGGATTTATCGAGCAATTTAAAACTTACGCTTCGCGATCATCCAACGTGTATTATATAGACTTTAATCTATATTTTCTACCGTACATTTTCCGTTTTCCTTGTGGTAATTGCTTATTTGGTTTTTTTGTTTTTGTTTTTTTGTTTTTTTTTTTTTGTTTTTTTACCAGATTTTACTATACTGAACGACTACTAGATTCTTGGCATTAGAATTGTCGAAAGGACGCGGTTTTTCTTTTTTTTTTTTTTTTTTGTATCACTTCTATTTCAATCGACGGCGTGAATTTCATTAGAGATTAATTGCCGCGGACGTAAATGCTATTTATTTTCGACATTTCGAAGAAGTGAATCGATCATTTCGAGGTGAACTTGTTTAATTATTTACAAGTCTTCGTACGGCTTAGTTAATATTTCTTCGGGTTCGTTAATGACTTTACTTGTAATTAAGGTTACTTTCCTTAATCGTAGTGCATCCAGCTATTTGCGATGTTTGGATTTACATAGTTGAACATTAACACATATTATACTATTTGATTAAAGTTACAAAAGAATACAGATTGAAAAAAATTCAAAAAAAAAGTAAAAGAATTTTTCACGAAAAATAATAATTTTGCAACAAATCAATTAACGCTAAAGAGAGCACCTTGGTTAATTGATAAATACAAACGTTGATGGATCTCGTGTTAAGTTCATTATGACCATTAATTCGATGTAGTGCTTGAAAACGAGATGTATTCAAATAAATATGATGAAACGTATAATAGGAACCTATAAGTTGTAAATAAACTCTTCGCTGACAGGCTCTTAAATACGAATATGATTATTTTTAGCGGAATATATATATATGTACGCGTCATTAAAAGAGCATCGAATTAATTCCGAAATTGTATGAATACTCATTTAAACGTGCCTACTTTTGCAACGGCAAATGTGCATTGTAAGACGTGAAAGAATTATAATAAAGGCAACGAAGGAGAAGAAAGGACGTGAAATGCCCGGAACAGGGACCACATCATTTCGCTAACTCTAATTCAGCAATAAGCGCGATGAAAGCAACGTTGCCGTTCCTCGACAATATACGAAAAACCGCAATGCTATCTCGATATATATCTTTCCGATTCTCTTTACAGGCTTATCCGAGCGCGATCGGGTATGACTGGTGGAAGCGGACCAACACAGACGCAGCGATCTATCGTTCGTGATAACCGGCGAGCCGGAAGAAGCGATTCGCGAGCCGATCAATTCACCAATACGTCGAGCCTATCGTTATCGATCTATTTATATGACGTATATGTAATATTTAACAATACGATATTTCTCAATGACAGCCGGTGATTGAGTTGACTAACTTATAAAAATGCATAATCAAACTGACACGTACACTTAAAACGTTTAAGTTAATTAGTCGAATGAATTTTACGCGGTAATTATCGATTTAGCGTAAGATTTAAATTGTATATTATAAAGCTCGAATACATTGTATTCGTTATATAATGAAATTAATGTATTATCGTCACCGTATAATGATAAACTTGTAATTTCTTCTAATTTAAATGTTAAATGGACGTTTCCTAATGACATGGTGTAAGGTAATCTAATTATCATAAATATTTTTAAAAGGTATCGTATCCTAGAGTACTTATTAACAATACGAGAGCTATTACATAAGTTTTTTTTTTTTTAATAGCGCGTATTGGCTAATCATTGAGATAGGGGAAGATAAAATCGTTACTGATAAAAAAGATCAACAATGGAGATGTTCGTTGGGGCTGCGTCGTTCAAAATATCAACAAATATCAAATTTAAAAAATATCAATTAATTGTCGCATGCGTGACCGTATCGCGAATATCGTATAAAATAAGAAATGAATGATGAGCTTTTTTCAATTAATATGATAATGCATAATAATATTACTTATTGCATCTTACTTAAGGTTGCTGATAAATGAAAAATTAAGAAATAAAAGTAAAAAAGAAAAAAAAATCACTTGCCAGTTGCAATTGAGGTAAACCATCGTCTTCGCACGATCCTCCCAATCTATATTTCATTATAATAACAATTATGTTAATATAAATCCAAGTCAATGCAGCAATTTCTTTCGCATGTGACATCATTTGAAACTGAATACGCATCTTATTAGCAAAAACTATTGTTACAGCGAGCAATGCCAAGACAATACCAAAATCATGCCTCGGTGTTAACAATTATAGAGCTCGAGACTTTTCAAAAAGTCCTACCTAATTTTCTCTTTAAATACGAGTCATAATTTTCTACGAGCGTGCGTCGCGAACACGTGTTCTCCGACATTTTTAAGCGCCCGTTTTTCCACTCGGAGACGACCGACGGAGACGACTCTTTATTGGCGGCCGATGAATCGCAGAAAAGCCAATGAATAAGGAGCCCCCACGCGACCTATCGTAGCTTCTTCGATTTTTCATCGCGAACGACGACGCGAGCCGACGGATGATCAAACGTCGTCATTGTTCCGCCACCGCGTCACGTGGGGCTCTAAATCACCGTTCGATTAGTTTGCGAGGAGCCGCCTCGTCGAGGTTTCCTCGCACGCCCTCGCTTGCTCGCGAAATATTTTCGTCGGCGCTCGATCCACTCGGGATGAGCGGGATGAGCGGGATGAGCGGGATGAACGAGTGCCTCATTGTGCCGTGAAGATATGTCCTTTTGTCGAGATGGAGGATTTCTTCGAGAGGAAGCGATACTTCGAGGGCCGTTGATTCCGCGGATGTTCATTAATTTCGCGCGTTTCCCTCGCGACCACAATTAGTCACTCGACTATTTGTGAAACGACTTTCTATTTGAAAGGTGTTTCCTGCAAAACGGCGTTGCAATATGTCGCTCTTTTAAATCTGAATTTCAATGTTAATGAAGCGTTGAATTTTCATAGGGGTTCTTAGGCTCGAGTCATCTGTCATATTATTCTGCCCGCCTGTAATTTGTTAGTTAACACACGGATCGGCGTTTTAAGATGCTTGTATTTTAAACGAGCGATGCTTGCATTCTATTTTGAATGATAAATAATCTTAAGGACAATGACAACATTTTCCCACGCTTTTATAAGTTTTCAATCACAACTACTAAACGGCCATTATTCACATCAGAGAATCACATTAGTGTTTCGTTATTTTCTACTTCTTCTATTTTTCTACATTTTTATAACGATATCACTTATTGGATATTATTTTATTTATAAATTTTTTAAAGGATTAAAAAAATTTTTTACCGTTTTAATTCAAATCTATTCAAACTTTTCATACACGTCATTACGATTACATTTCATTAGCAATATTTCCCGACAAAATTGTATAACTTTAACGAGAACTTATTATACATTTTCATAAATTTTCATTAAATAATGGGAACAAGGTAGACAGGAATAATAAACAAATAAAATAGAAAAAAAAAAAGAATGATGGATCGCGCTAATTCATTATGATTTGCAAAAAATTACTGAAAAAGTTAAAATTTTGTAATCAATATTCAATAAAGTGACGCTCTGCATAAGGAAGGAAGAGAATAATAATTTCACTATCGACTAATATGAA